TGTCCGAAAAGAACAGTTATAGATGGTTTGAAGCCTTCCACTTCAACATTGCTTGCGACCCATCGATTGTGACCCATTTTCTGTCATCTTCATCGTTCGACCCATCAACATTTGTTGGTAGGTGCAAAGGTTTGAGTGCAAGAACAACCGGCTGATTTCAGTGACATGGTGTGTACGGACGGTTGGTGCTTGTGCAGACTAGGTCACCATGCCCTCAAACTACCACCTCCTCGATGCATCGTTGTCAAACTGTGCAGAAACTAAGCAGAAAAGGGCGAACAATTCAGAATGAATTCAAAATTGCTGACATCATGTTGAGAGTCTTACTGGTGTACTGGAGCTCACGGAGTATCATTGTATTGTGTTACAAAATGACCTAAATTGACTGAAATTCATTGTAATGTCTGGAATGATGAATTGCTTGAAATAGATCAATCTACCAATTTAACGCCCATTCTAATCACCATAAAACCTGATTCTCGTGGGTTACAATATCGTGGCTACCCACAAAATCAAGTCGAGGGGTCACCAGCTCTGGCTGTTGGCCCATTCTCCCAATGATCAAACTTACAAAATAGATCAACATAGTAAGACACCACCAACCAAATGATCATGTGGACGACCACATGTCCCCATTTTTTTAAATGTATATATATATATATACGTATGTATACATATGTATGTACTAAATTATATATGTAAATATATCATCAATTGTTTTTGCCCATCATTTCCTAATATGTTTGTTGAATATATGCGTTTCAACGGCGTATGGACAGCTTCACAGCTGCATCCGTCGCACACCGGGTATTGCGTCCATATCTTCACAGCAACGCTGAGCTGATGACCTTAGGCCATCAGCCCATGCGCCGGAAATACAGAGGCGTTGAGTTCAGCTGCAAAAAAAAATGAGAGGTCCGGATGGAAAAAATGTTTCGTTACTTTTTGTTGCTGCAAGATCAGAAGGGATTGATTGAGATTGCAGGGTTTCATCAGTGCCATTCTTATTAGTATGCAATATATATATATATATATATGTGTGTGTGTGTTAAATATACATATATAATTTATAATCATAATTTACTATATATATATATATATATATGTATACACACTTAAATGACTCTAGTTACACAGAATAGTAGTTTCCTCTGGAGACTCCTCGGTGACACAAATCGGCGCTATCTGTCTTGGCTGCTCTTCCGGCCTTGCTTGAATGTCCCGGACTTTGCGTTCTTGGGGCATCAGTCGTCAGTGCTGATTGTTCAAGCACAGGCTCTCCTGCCATAAGTTTTTCAGATTTGCACCTTTTGCGCATACAAAGGCATGTTGCATTTGTTGATTCTGTATCTAGCCTATATAGTGGTTCGTTGAATCCGCGATTTCGATCGAAACAAACATGTGCACCTGAGACTCATAAAACTAGTGCTGACCAAACAAATGGGTCACATTTCTGGGCAAGTGTAGCAAGTACCCTGAAAGCACAAGTACATGAATGCCAATATGTATACTACAATATGTGAATATATGGATATACAACATGCATACTACATTTATATTTCCAGAACAGGCCACTGTGGGAGTGCGCAAATTGCAGCATTTCCTGTGCAAAGATCCAACAGCATATGGCGCAACCGGACAAAATTGAATTCCATTCCTCTCTGCTGTTCATTGGCTGAATGCACTATGTCATAGCAAACATTGCTGTACTGTAGTGTATCGACCTTGCTTCTAGTGCAACCACTGACAGTGCCTGGCAATCTCTGCTTGGCACATCTGCAATGGCTATCCACACACAAACCAAAAAAACAAAAAACAAAAAAAACAAAAAAACAAAAAAAAACAAAAAAGACAAGACCCAACACTCTGCATCTGACCCCCTCCCCTTGGGGTGTGCAATCTTGTTTTTTTTTGTTTTTTTTTTGTTTTTTGTTTTTTTGTTTTTTTGGTTTTTTGGTTTCTTGTTTTTTTGTTTTTTTGGTTTTTTGGTTTGTGTGTGGATAGCCCAGACCTTGCCCATGGGTCTGAACTTTTTGTTTTTTTTTGTTTTGTTTTTGTGTTCTCGAGGTTTTGGCCAAACTGCAAAAAACCATGGAAAAACAAAAAAAAACAAAAAAAAAAAGTTCAGACCCATGTCCCCTGCCAGGCCTCTCCCCAGACCTTGCCCATGGGTCTGATTTGTTTTTCCCATTGTTGTTTTGAATGTTTTTCATGTGAAGATGCTTTCATCACAGTACCTCTCAAAAAAATGCACGTCTCTACAATTTGCACACCTGCGCCCCCCAGGCCAAACTGCAAAAAAAAACATGGAAAAACCAAAATTCATTTACTGACTAATATAATGACTAATATAATGATTAATATAATGATTAATGTAATGACTTTTTGTTTCATGAATATAATGACTAATATAATGATTGATATAATGGTTAATAAAATGATTAATGAAATGATCAATATCACGATTATTATTATGATTTATATAATGATGAATTTAATGGTTATTAAAATGAAGAATTTAATGATTAATATCATGATTATTATCATGATTCATATAATGATTAATGGAATGGTTCATATAATGCCTAATGCAATGACTAATATAATTAATATAAATATAATGATTCATTTCATGATTCATTTAATGACTTTTATAATGACTAAGATAATGATTAATATAATGATTTTTGTAATGGCTGATATAATTATTAATTTATTGCCTAATATAATGATTAATATAATGATATATATAATGACTAATATAATGATTAATAAAATGATTAATGTAATGATTAAAAAATGATTAATATGATGAATTATATAATGACTGATATAATGATGATTCATTTAATGATTCATTTAATGATTAATACAATGATTCATATAATGATTTGTATAATGATTCATATAATGACAAAAAAATCATTTAATGACTTATATAATGACTAATATAATGACTAATATAATGATTAATGTAATGACTGCATGGTAAAAAGATGTAAAAAGTGCACTCCCACAGCGGCCAGCTCTCTATATTTACCAGTAGTACCGCACAAGGCGGTGGCGGAAGTTTCAAAAATAGGAAACGTATAGGAGCGGTTGGTTGTTGTAAATCACGGATGGCAGAGCGAAGCCACTGATGGACCGAAAGGTGCTTGAGGTCTCCTCTCTTTCTCTCTTTCTTTCTTTGTCTATCTACCTACCTACCTACCTATCTATCTATCTATGTATCTATCTATCCATCTACCTACCTATCTATCTATCAATCAATCTATCTATCTCTCTCTCTCTCTGTGTCTGTCTGTCTGTCTATCTATCTATCTATCTATCTCTCTCTCTCTCTATCTCTCTGTCTGTCTGTCTATCTATCTGCAAGCTTGAAAATGAAGCTGTTCTGCGAGACTTCCTCAGTTTTTGAAGTTGACAACATCGAAAACGCAGCAATTCAGCGAGACGTCCTCAATTTTTGCACTTGACAACATCAAAAGCCAAAAACGAAGCAATTCAAAGCAATTCGGCGAGACTTCCTTCAAAAATGGAAAGTTGAATGCAGAGCTGACGGCCTCGCACCAATGCGTTTTGCGATTTTTCGACTCCACCTGTCCAAAGTACTGCGCCTGCCACGGAAAAGTGATACCGGGTCATACGAAGTGCTGCACCTGTCACGCAAAATCATCTCAGCAAACCTGAAGATTTGATGCTCCAAAATGCAACCCCTCTCAGGAAATCAGCGCTCGGACCTCCTAACAGCTCTGATGAACATGTCTCTTGTAATGCGCATGCCACGGAAAATGCATCTTTGCAGATCCTCTTCAAATGTCCCACGCGTGCCATCGTTTTTGGAAATGCCACAAAACCCTCACGTTTTGCTCACTTTTGACAAGGTGCACAATCCCATGCGCCTGCCACGCGAAACGACATCTGAACATCCAAAAGTGATCCGAGCATGTGGTGCTTTTCACATTTTGACTTCGAAATGTGCTTCGTGACACAACAGCGTGCACTTTTTCAACATCTCAACTTCCAAGAGTGGTCCGGAGCTGGTGTGCTTTGTACGTTTTGACTTTGAAATGTGCTGCGCGCCACAACGGCGTGCATCGCAACTTCCAAAAGTGGTCCGAACATGGTGTGTTTTGTACATTTGACTTAGAAATGTGCTTCGGGCCACAACGCCGTGCACTTTTTCGACATCTCAACTTCAAAAAGTGGTCCGAACGTGAGGTGTTTTTAGCTTTTTCACTTGCAAATGTGCTTCGCGCCACAACGGCGTGCAATTTTTCATATCTCATCTGGCCAGATGGCTCCGCACCCGCCGCTTTAGCGAGCCTACTTTTCGACCCTCCGGAGCCACAAATCATTGGAAAAACATAGTGTTTCGCGACTTTCCTACCTTTTCGCGCACCTGGATCTTCTTTCTTCTGAGACTTTCTCTTTTGTGATCTTCTTTCTTCTTCGCTTCTCTTCTCTGACTCTTCCCATCTTTGCTTTTTATCTGTCCATATTGTTGGAAGTTTGACTTCTAAACTTCCTTCGACTATATATTATATGTCAATGATAAAGAGACCGCATAAATATACCCAATGGGAGGCACTGAGAAAGTAGGAGCAAATTATGTAAAACAAAAAAAGGGTTGAGAACTCGAGTGCCGAGAATTCCAACCCCCAGAAATAGCGAACTCAACGCCAGCATCTCTGAAAGGCTCTGACGACCCAAATAGATTAATTTCAGTAGTGCGACATTGGTGCAACATGCCACTCTCCCTTCTTGGGGCTTGTCCAAGGAAGAAACTCAAGGAAGACGCGCGCTTGGGTGTCCTGTAAATATCAATTCAGCCTTTCTCGGCCCCTCCTCCTCCCTTCAAGCATATTTTAGGTTCAATATGGAGGATTCTTACAATGGGTGATTTCAAGTCACCATAGGTTTCAATACTAAAATGGTCTAATGACTTCGATGATTTGGGGATACCCCCATTTTAGGAACCCCCTATATATGGAAACACCTCAAAACTATTTCCGCCCCAAGACTTCGCGACAGTTGCGGCACACTGGCCAGTGCACATCCTCCATTGAGAGGCCGGTGGCGGCCAGTGCCCTCAGAACTGCTCTGTGGTGGTGTCCTCATCCTCCTGGGTACGGTGTTTCTGTTTTTGCTGGGATAAATAATCCCATCTCATCCTGCAGACTTGCAAATTAAGATCCTCAGGATTCCAAACCACCAATCCAAAATAAACCAAAACCACTAAACAAATAAATGTACATACATGCATGCAGCACCCGCAATCATGAACTCATTGGGTGTGCAATATTAAAAAAAACATACACGTAAATTTTACGTACAGTAGATGTCTATACATATATATATATACTTGTCTACTGAATATGTAGCAATGTAGATACATCATGTACATGTAAATGTGCATTCCTAGACAATAAAAAATCCATGAGTTGTTTCCACTAGGACTGTCCCCTCCGCAGTTCAATCGCCTGTGTGGAGATATTGTTGCTTGGTTTCAGGCCCTTCCTCATCTTCAGAATCTCCTGCAGTGGAAATGATCCAACCAGTGATGGTTTCAAGAGTTCCTCCAGTATCTATGAACCGCCCTTCCCCCGGACAATGAGATGCATGTGGTAAACCCCATGAAGTTCCAATTGGAGACAGCTGAAATCCCATCTCTGACAAAATTTGGGATGGTTTATCCATGTTTATCCCTTCTTTTATCGTATCTTACCACATGGCTGAGTTCCTACCCCTTGGGCCATTGGATCTGCACTGCTATGCTCCTTCTTCAAGCTCTGCAACGCCTGACGCGTGAGCCTCGGGCGATTTTCGCATCAACAAATGGCAGAAAGTTCACCATCAGCCAGCCATTAATATTATGCTTATATACCTGGTGCCCTGATGAACACCAACAAAAACTTGAGGTTGCCTTATTCATCCCAATGCGTACATTTAATCATTACACATTGATTTGATATATTGATATAATTATTAAGACATTTAATATATATATATATATAATTATATATATATTATTCCGTGAGATTGCAGAGGCAGCGCTTGTGATTTGGCTTGCAGTGCTTGTGTCATATATGCATATATTAAATATATATATATATAATATGTGTGTGAGCCACCGTCAAAATCAATTGTTTATATGCCTGGTGCAAAAGAATAGGTCATCACTTTTTGCGGGGGCTCTATCGCTTACATTTTTTTGTTACAATTGTTCAAATCAATAATAAATAATACAACAACGCAGCGGCATTGCCTTTTATCAAACAAATTCAAAATGAAAATCAGCTTTATCAAAGATCTCCAAATAAGTTTTTTGCCTTTGCTTTTTTGTAAGATTTGTTCGTTTCCATGTGTTGTTCCCAACGTCTGGTATTTTTGGAAACACTGCCAATGGGATGAAATGAGTCTATCCGTCTATCCCTCGTTCGGGGTCCCTTTCTCAACAAAAGGTTACCGCTAAGTTGTCGCTAAGGTGTTCACCAATATTGAACGCTTCCTTTTTGTTTTGCTAGGGCGTCCAGGCGGGTTGCCCGAAATGAAACAACATGTACAAATCAACGCCTTCATCAAGAAAGGGAAAAAAGGAAGAACGTGGAACACGAAGGAAAATTTAAAGAATATGTAGAAGGAAAATAATGAAGGAACAAGTGAAAAAAATAAAGAAAGAAGAAAGTACAAATCAAAGGATATAATTCAGAATCTAATTCGGAAAGGACAATTTAAAACAATATTTGACTTAATTCAGAATACAAGTTGATTTTGTTCCGTCAATTTTGCCTCTTGCGTGAAGGCACACAACAATATTTGCTTGGTTTACATCAAGTTTAACGCACTCTCATATATGGTTATTTTTTGGGGGGAGCCTATCGTTTTTTTTTAACATGGCTTGGTTCACTTCTCAGCACAACTGCTCCTCAACTTGCTGTAGTCTACGCTCATTCTGACCGTATCTCATCTATATATCTCTATATCTGTGTGTGATTGCATCATGATGATATCCACCCATAGTATTCTGGTTGGTGGTTTCAACCCCTCTGAGATTATTTCAAATATATGGGAAAGAATGTTCCAAACCACCAACCAGTATTCCATTACTATCTTAGTACCATCAATATCAGTACACATCATCATGATTAAATCCACCATTGGTACTTGGTGGTTCACCCCAGCTAGTCAGTGGGTTCACTTATCCGTATTCATCATCAACAATCTATACTGATCCAAATGTTCATCATTAAAAATCCACATTATATAATTTATATTACATAATCCATATCAATCCATATTAAACCATATATATGTATATATAGTTATATTAATCCATATTAACTCATATTAATCCTATTATCATATGGATAAAGTATGATGAAATTAAGCCAAACCACTGGTTTTTCCGTGTTTCGGGGCAGCTGCTTCCTAGCGACTTATTTTCGTAGCTCATCTTAGCCATCTGCATACTCTTGGCAGGGCCGTGGAGCTGCATACAGCCAGACACAAACCTCGGGCGCCGTAGCGGACCCCGTGTAGGGCAGCCCGGGACAGGCAAAGGTTTGACGATCAAACATGTGGATTCAACATGATTTCAGTATTTAAGAAACAAGAAAGGTTGGTCTCACAATCAACTAGCTGAAAACATCCGGAAACCAGAGTCAATTTTTGAAGGGTGTCTTCACTAATTATTCATGTCTTTTGAATTTTGAAGTTGCTTGGGCACCTGTGGTCTTCTGGAAAGTCTCTGTAGCCACATGTTGGTACCCATTTCCCTATACTATAGAAATAAACAACCAATGTATCACTAGTTAATTTACCTCCACCTCCACCTCCTCCTCCTCCTCTTCTTCATTTATGCTTCCTGTGCCCGGCATTTCCTTTCCGTCGCAGGATATGAAATTAAACACCGAAGCAGCATCTTTGTTGTTTCTTTTGTCTGACTAACTAGATGGCCGGCCCCACTAGACGCGCAAAACCTTCACTTCAGCTGACCATAATTTCACCAAGTACATTTGGACATGAACAGCTCACAAGTCAAGTTCAAAAAACGCACATCAGTTTGAAGTAAGTAGTGGTAACTAAGCTAGTCAGCAAACAATCATATATATATATATACCCGACATGTATCTTTGTTTGATACATAACTACTAGTAGAGACTATAGATTGGCATCTGCCGACTTGGCCATGGGATGACTTGGCCAAGGTGCTCATCCAAATCAATAAGCCCTTTATGTTCCGAGTCCAGTAGCATGAATAAGGTCCTGGCTGACCACTCACCACCCCCCCTGGGTCAGCTCAAACTTGCCGGCTGATGGAAGATGTGGATTTTTGTGAGTTGGGATCATCACATTTTTTGGTGAAAGTGAACCGTATTTGATGTGTCAAGCAATGGCAAGTATGGGATTTGCATACATGGATTTGCCGGCTTTCTTAGCTGCAAGGTCTACCTTAAACATCATCCTATCCTGGTCCTCCCCAGACCGGGCCCTAGGCCGCCGGCTGGCCCTAGTCCGTCCTCACATCATCGGTGGAAATGCCCAGAGATTCCATAAAACTGGAGAGTTCCCCTGAAGACATGGCATTCCTCACATCCTGGCTGAGGAATGCTGAGGAAAATGGAGCTGGTACCCCTCATCCTGGAAGTCTGGCGGAAAGCCTATAGTATGACCTCCCGACAAAAATCACATGACCCTGACATGGCAAAGAAACATACGAACTCTGATTATCTGCAATCAACACTTTCCCCCCAGATTCGCCAAACCTAAATCATCCTATCCAAAATATCGGACTTGGAGGTTCACCCCAGATACTAAACTTCCAAAATCACTGGACTCACCAATGCCAACCCCATTTACCCAGCCTATCCCAGCCTAATCTACCGATTATTTTCTGGGTAAGTTAGCCAATGGGCTGAACCATCCAATCCACCATCCGCGTCACGACGTCGTCGCCTCGAAATTCACCTCGTTGTCGTTCTCACGATCGATCTCCCTAAAGATCTGCTGCAGTGCTTCCACCTACCACCCATAGCTGAAGCCACCCGGTGGAAAACATAGCAAGCTGGGAAATCCCGCATATATATATATAATATAATATAACATAATAATATACACACACACAAATACATACATTCATTCATTCATACATACATACATACGTACGTACGTACGTACATACATATATATATATATATAATTATACATATAGAATAATATAATGCACACATATATATATAATATCTATATATATATATATATGTATAATGGGAATATCATCTATAAATATGGGTGATTTTCCAGCAAACTTTGTTTGATTCTATAAAGGGTATTTACCAAGAAATAAAGGGGAGCAATTGAGGGTGCCTGTAAATCGATGGAGCACTCCTGGGAAACCTTATCTGCAACCAAGTCTGGGACATTTGGGTGAACCACAATAGGCAATCCAACAAAAATGACGCTACAAACTCATAAAACAAATAATATGCCCTTACAAATGAGCCCGGTTTGCGGATCGCCACCTCCCCCCCCCAATGGTCCCCCACTCCTCCTCTATTTGCAGCAATTGGGAGGCACCGCCTGCCCTCCCACTTGTACGCTATTTACATCTATTTACAGCATTTAGGACCTAATTTAGGAGACAGCCTCCCATTTGCACGCTGTTTATGGCATTTGAGAGCCACGACCTCGTCACTGGGCCCTGTCTAGCTGTATATGTCTCACATATCAATCTAGCACATACTACCCGAAACCTATTTATATACTGGCTATAGCGTACCTCACACATGGCTTACCACTCATTGTATGCCTTTATGCTACATAGTTTCTACCTATAGATTATATACTCAAAGAGTACCTATGCATACCTCTATATATATATATATATCCTGTATATATATATATATATATTGCTATATCCTATGTGCTTGGATGCAGTATGTACCTACAAAAATAAATGCATAGACCTACACTACCTAAATACCTCAACATAATGCACAACTCATATTATATACCGATTATATACCGATCTGCAATGTTGTGTATACATTGCTTCATCACTACCTATACTCATTACACCCTACATATACTACCTACACATGCTTCTTAGCGTACCTAATGATATACGACTTATTGCATGGCGTGCCTATATAACATAGACCCGGGCAAGCCGGCGGCGGAAGTTTCCCAAGAATAAATGACCTATAGTTCGACGCCAGCCTGTCCCGACCGTGTCCTTCCCTCGACAAGCGGCTTTTTTTTTTCAGCGAGAGACGAAGCAAAGTCTTCACACTCCACACTGCACTCTTCGCACTCCACACTTCACACTTCTCACTTCTCACTGCTTCCTCCACACTCCAAACCTCACACTTCACACTTCACACTGCGCTCTTCGCACTCCAAACTTAAACTTCACACTCCACACTTCACACTTCACAGTTCACACTTCTCACTTCCCACTGCTTCCTTCACACTTCACACTTCTCACTTCGAACTTCACACTCCACACTTCACACTTCACCCTTCACAGTCCACACTGCACACTTCACACTTCACAGTCCACACTTCACACTCCACACTTCACAGTCCACACTTCACACTTCACACTTCACAGTCCACACTTCACACTTCACACTCCACACTTCTCACTTCTCACTTCGCACTTCACACTTCTCACTGCTTCCTTCACACTCCAAACTTCACACTTCACACTTCTCACTTCGCACTTCACACTCCACACTTCACAGTCCACACTTCACACTTCTCACTTCACTTCACACTTCACACTCCACACTCCACACTTCTCATTTCTCACTGCTTCCTTCACACTCCAAACTTGGCACTTCACACTTCTCACTTTCGCACTTCCACACTCACACTTCTCACTTCTATTCACTGCTTCCTTCACACTCCAAACTTCACACTTCACACTTCTCACTTCGCACTTCACACTCCACACTTCACAGTCCACACTTCACACTTCTCACTTCACACTTCTCACTTCTCACTGCTTCCTTCACACTCCAAACTTCACACTTCTCATTTCGCACTTCACACTCCACACTTCACAGTCCACACTTCACACTTCTCACTTCTCACTGCTTCCTTCCCACTCCAAACTTCACACTCCAAAACTCACACTTCTCACTTCGCACTTCACACTCCACACTTCACTCACACTTCACACTTCACAGTCCACACTTCACACACTTCTCACTGCTTCCTTCACACTCCAAACCTCACACTTCACACTACGCTCTTCGCACTCCACACTGAAACTTCACACTCCACACTTCACGCCCCACACGTCCAACTGCTCTAAACTTACGTGCAACAAAAAAAACTAGCGCCAAAATGGAGAAAATCATACAGCTTTGGGTCTGATGTCTGAAAAAAAAATGCTCCAGAAAGTCATACATTCAACAAACCACAAAACTCCAACCCATGCTGCACAAGGCATTGAGAGGATCTCAGTGAGACCTTGCATGACTCGCTCCCACGACAGCTTTGTTTTTTCACATGTATGCAATACGATCATGGTTGTTTGTGCGGTTCGCAACAACGCACACATAAACCAAAAGCAAGTGACAAAGGCATTCTGCGGTTCGCAAGGCTAAATGAAAGGCGAAGCTACTGAAGGACAGCAATTCAAACTCGGATGCGGTTCATAACAACGCACACCCAGCCCTTGGCAGTCAAGCGAGAGTCGATCCCAATCGCTGATGCTGTCCTTGACCCATCAGCGACCAGCACGTCATGCACAACACATGGCCATCCAATGCCTGTGCAAAGTCAAGTGGTTATAGTGGTGAATTACAGCGATCGGACTATGGGAATTTATTACTTAAACTACGCTTGGCTTGTGCAACCGTGGCGTCTGCGTCCCATCCTCAAAGATAACATGTGCGACACAGGCAGCACATAACTGCATACCCGCGTGCGTGTCTTGTGAGAGGCCACGTGGTTGTAGTGGTGAACTACAGGGATCGGACAATGGGAATTTATTACTTAAACCCTGCTGGGTTTGCGCAAACGTGGTATTTAGCACACTTGGCACATGTTTGACACAGGCAGCACATAGCTGCAAACCCGCATCCAAGACCTGTGAAAACTCAGTTGGTTATAGTGCTGAACTACAGGGATCAGACTATGGTAATTAATCACTTAAACCACGCTGGGCTTCTGCAAGAGTGGCATGTGCGACCCTGTCCTCACAGACAACATGTGTCACACAGGCAGCACTTAACTGCATACCCGCATGCAAGGCCTGTGAGAAGACTACGAGTTGCTGCTCTAAAACAAGAATAATGGTGAGATTCACATCCTTATGATCTAAGACAATAATCATGTCCGCGGGCCAAAACACCGAACGAACAGTGGAACCACAAGTTGCTCACATGTCCAAAACAATTCTTTCTCAATTACTTGAAGCAGAAACATGTGTTAGCAATGGCATTTCTCGAATGCATATGTACCAAAAACACATCATGTCTGTTTCTGTTACCCATAACACATGCGTAGGCAACAAACATCATGTCTGTTTCTGTGAGCCATAACCGACCGACGTCTAACATTACTACTGAAGCCACAACCAGGGACACTAATGCCGTCACTTCTACTTCCCACTGTCATTACCTAAAAAGGGGCCAGTCCAAACAGTTACAATACTCATTGTCACTACAGTTACAGCCACAACGGTCATTGTCAAAGTAGTCTTTGTCATAGTATCTAAGGTCACAGTAGTCATGGTCAGAATAGTCACAGTCACAGTCACATCAGGTATGGTCACACTAATCAAAGTCACGGTGGTCATTTTATGGAGGTTATCAACATACAACCGCACGAACGATGGAATTACGATTTGAACCAACCACCCAAAACACAAATGATTCGAAACCTGCGTCAACGATGCCTGCCTATCCTATCGTCTGCGTCCTCCCTTACATCCTTCCCGCCGCATTCATTTTTTGTCGGTTTAATCTGCGATGTCCTCGGCGTCTGCATCGCTGATGCTGTCCTTGACCCATCAGCGACCAGCACGTCATGCACAACACATAGCCATCCAATGTCTGTGCAAAGTCAAATGGTTATAGTTGTGGATTGCAGCGATCGGACTATGGGACTTTATTACTTAAACTACGCCTGGCTTGTGAGAGGCGTCTGCGTCTCATCCTCAAAGATAACATGTGCGACACAGGCAGCACATAACTGCATACCCGCATGCGTGTCTTGTGAGAGGCCACGTGGTTGTAGTGGTGAACTACAGGGATCGGACAATGGGAATTTATTACTTAAACCCTGCTGGGTTTGCGCAAACGTGGTATTTAGCACACTTGGCACATGTTTGACACAGGCAGCACATAGCTGCAAACCCGCATCCAAGACCTGTGAAAACTCGGTTGGTTATAGTCCTGAACTACAGGGATCAGACTATGGTAATTAATCACCACGCTGGGCTTCTGCAAGAGTGGCATGTGCGACCCTGTCCTCACAGACAACATGTGTCACACAGGCAGCACCTAATTGCATACCCGCCTGCAAGGCCTGTGAGAAGACAGGAATTATGGTGGTGAACTACGGGGCTTAGACGATGTGAATTTGGCACTTCATATTCGAAGGCAACATGTGCGACACAGGCAGCACGTAACTGCATACCCGCGTGAGGCCAACATGCCTGAAAGACAAGCTTACCCGTCATAAACATGCCAACGCAAAGTCAAGCGGTTATAGTGGTGAATTACAGGGATCGGACTATGGGAATTTATTACTTAAACTACGCTTGGCTCGTGCAACCGTGGCGTCTGCGTCCCATCCTTAAAGATAACATGTGCGACACAGGCAGCACATAACTGCATACCCGCGTGCGTGTCTTGTGAGAGGCCACGTGGTTGTAGTGGTGAACTACAGGGATCGGACTGCAGGGATCGGACTTTATTTAGCACACTTGCCAGATGTTTCACACAGGCAGCACATAACTGCAAACCCGCATCCAAGACCTGTGAAAAATCAGCTGGTTATAGTGG